ATATGGAACGCGGTTAGAATGTGCATTATGCAGTTGCGCTTCGCCGATAGAGCATTGAACAACCTTCGGTCGAGCAATGACAACTTTACAACAACCCAAGCATTTAGGGGTCATTGTAGCTTTTATTAAATAACAGCATAATGGACCATAAAGATGGTAGCGAAACGCAACGGTGTTCGCTATCAGCCAGCAACTTGAAATACCGCACATTGACCGGAGACATATTTCAAGATTTCTATGTATAGTTTAGCTGTCTTTTTTAAATCACTGTTACAGACTCCTTCCATTTCTGAACTCTCCTCCTCAGAAGTATGAACACAATATCCGCGGACCAGTACCTAGCTAACACCTAGTCCCCTACAAAAATATGCTTAACTCTCATGCTTAAATTTCACTTGTTCACTGCAAACAATATCACCTGTGAGATTTTTTGAATAGGCTTGCCGACGCCATTCTCGATAATCTCGAGAATAACCTTCATTCATTCTTTAGACCATAGGGGACCACGCAACTTACAACATCGGTAATACTTTTGTTTTTGGATGCGATTTTTATGCTACAGGTACAACACTACATTCCCCTTATCATCCCCAAAAGGTGGGTCTCGCTTCGTCGTGCAGCTATTGTGATTTATCTATCAATTATTAGTTACGGAACACCATCTAGGTAGCGCTTCCTAGGGGAAGTTGCTGCAATTTCGGCACGGATGCGAAATCTAACACTATTGATTTTAAATGAATCGTCCTGACCAGACGTGTACACCCAAAGGTTATTCGACTGGATGCCAGGTTCGAGCGTTTTGAGTGGAGGTGACACGTTGTTTCGTTTTGCTTGAGCAGCTGGGCAATGTGTGTTGGAACTTCGTGCTGTACCACCACTACCCTTACGGTGTTAGTCTCTCCTGCTTCGCGGAGGGCTCAATGCCTATATAAACCGCCCTCCTACTTGTAGTGGTTCGGACAAAAATAATTTGTACCTGGTTTTGAGCAGAGGTAAATACGCAAGTAGAGGCCAGTTTTCAAAATAATCGGTAGCTGGAGCAAGCGACACAGCGGCCAACATCTCGGGCAGGTGTTCAAACCCAGCCTGGGAAATTGGCAAAGTATTTCTGCTCATAGACTGTCATTGATGACGAATGCGTGTCGTAGTGAGTATGACTACTTTTACGTTAATATAAGTAAGAGGATATCGCCATTCCTGGTTATTTTGCTTGGCGGTAGTTGTAGCCTTAGCTGGGCCGGCGCTTAAAGCCTTCGACTCAAATGAAAGTTAAGCACTCATTTGTCGACAGCAATTCCAAATGTTTAGAGCAGGAAACGGTGCAAGACTTGTGATACCAGCCGTTGTATAAATAGCACAAATGCAATAATTTCACACTTAAGGAGGGCATTAGGCAGCCGATAGTGCCACAGCCATCGGTAAATTTGCTGGCAACTGCATTAGAAAAAGCACTGGGGGAAAAATTGTTGATTGCCTCAGAGACCTGCCCGGACTTAATGGCCTTCACTGAAACTTGGCTATTCAATGACATCACGGATTCAGAGGTGTCTATCCCTGGTTATCACCTCTCCCGATCCGATCGACAAGGAGGGAGGCCCGGCGGTGGTGTAATAGTCTATGGGAAGACTGATATTAAAGTGTACGTAGTTGAAGCGATGTGTGACAAAGACGATGAGTTTGATGCACTCTGGTGTCGTGTTCATGATGGTCGGAGTTCTCTCTCATTTGGTGTTGTCTACAGAGCGCCTTCAGGATCCGGAGCCCGGTTGATGGACTCGATCAGGAAGCATGGTGCACGAAAGCACTGTCTTATCGTTGGGGATTTCAACGCTCCTTCTGTTGACTAGAACTTGTTTCTTTGCGACCGACCTACAGAATCCTTCGAGGCTAACTTACTGGAGACCACTCTACATTGTTATTTGCTTCAACACGTCAATACACCAACTCGTATTCCTCCAGATCAGACGCCGCATATACTGGATCTCGTGCTCTCCCCAACACAATCAGACATCAGGAACCTTTCAGTTCTACAGCCCATTGGCAGCAGTGATCATTGTACTGTCTCATTCCAGTGGTCACGGCGCCTCGCTGTTCACAGTCAACGTGCCGACCGTCGGAATTTCTGGCGTGCCGCCACAACTCGTTTGAAAACGGCGGCAAGCATTGTCGATTGGAGTACCCCTAAACACCTCAATGTTGACGAAGCGTGGCATCACTTGTACTCCAAGCTGACCTTACTCATTGAACCGGTCATCCCCTTCTCCAAAAGAAGACCCTTCTCCAAAGGCCCTCCATGAATCGACCGCGAATTGAGATGAATGATGAAAAGAAGGTGTAAACTGTGGGATCGTTTCAGAATTACGCGAGTTGAGCTTCACTACTATCACTACAAAACGGTCAGGAATGCTTGTAACATAAAAAACACGAGAAACGCCAAAAGTACGAACGGTCATTAGCTGCACTTTCTAGTACAAACTTAAAGGCGCTCTACTCAAACCTCAAACGAAGCACTAAAGCTAGAAGTGTGTCCCTGCTTTGTCTCCCTGTGAGCACTTGGACCTAGTCTACGAAGATGCTGAGAAAGCTAGCCTTTTGGCCAAGCAATATTCCTCAGTCTACTCTACCGAAACGCCACTCCTAGATAGCGTTGCACCCACTCCTCCTTTCCTGCTGGAGCACATGAATGTTTCCACTGACGATGTGATGAAACTTCTACTTGACCTAGACCCGTATTCCTCGCCTGGTCCCGATGGTTTACACCCATTGTTCCTCAAGACCGTGGCCGGACACATTGCCGCTCCTGTATGTCAAATTTTCCGTCGTTCCCTTGTGGTCCGGCGGCTTCCTACTGCTTCGAAGATGGGAACGGTTAAACCCATTTACAAAGGAGGGAACCGACAGAATCCAGCCAGCTATCGTCCCATATGTTTGACTTCGATTTTGTGCAAAGTCGTGGAGCGGATTCTGAAACGGGCCCTTCGCATACATCTCGATGAGTTAGAGTTCCTATCTCATGCCCAACATGGCTTCCGAAGGGCGCGATCATGTGCTACAAATTTGCTGGTAGCTAGGGAAAAATGGGCAAGACCCTTAGACGCCGGTAAGCGTCTGGATGATGTGTTTGTCGATTTCAGTAAGGCTTTCGACAAGGTCCCACATGAGCGGCTCCTCTTCAAACTCCAGGAAATCGGCGTCACTGGCAGTTTTCTTTCATGGGTCTCCGATTTCCTGCAAGGTCGCTTCATGCAGGTCAAAGTTAACGAAGCGCTTTCTGATAAAATTCTTATGAGAGTGCGGTCCCCCAGGGTTCTGTACTCGGTCCCGAACTCTTCAATGTCTTCATCAACGACCCGCCATCCGAACTGCGGACCGACTGCTTTATCTACGCGGATGATCTGAAGCTGTGGATTGAGGTTTCCAGTCTGGAAGACGCAGACATACTTCAAGCGACATTCGATCAGCTCCACGATTGGTCACTAAAGTGGCAGTTGCCCATTAACCATGACACATGCGCTATCCTTCCAATCGGTGCTCCTGAGCCTTTTGGGGCTTACCATATCGGGGGTTTCCTGCCCACAAATGTCAACCAAGCGAGGGACCTAGGGGTGATTGTGTCTCCTGATCTCAAATCAATCGAGGACACCCGGAAAAGGGTCGCATCCGCATACAGAATACTTCACGCTATACGGAGAGCCTTCTCACGCCTGACCCCAGCACTCTTCCGATTACTGTTTGTTTCTCATGTACGCCCAGTTCTCGAGTACGGATTGCCTGCTGCGTACCCGCTGACTATTTCCGAACGTGACATGATCGAGAAGGTTCAAAGGCGTGGATCCAAATCCGTTCCAGAGCTTCGGGACTTATCCTACCTCCTCCGGCTACAACGGTTGAACCTGTTCTCTGGATTATCGTCGTCGCCGCGGAGATATGATATTCATCTGGCGTATTCTGCGAGGTGAGCTGGGGAGTGAGCTGCAATCCTTCTTTTGTGGTGCAACTCGAGGACACCAAAGGAAACTTCTCAAACCGCGGCGACTCCGTGTACGGTCCGATCTGGCCCTATCCACCCGGGTAGTGAATGACTGGAACAGCTTGCCAGAAGTTGTCGTCGATGCGGAGACAGAGGAATGTTTCAAACGACGGTTAGGTACCCACACTCTGAGTGTGCAGGGATTCTGCTGCCCACAATACAACCATAGCGATCTTCTGCTGAACCTTGTTCCGCAATGATCCAAGCAATCCTCGCAATGTCCGGGAAGTGACGGAGCTGACAAAGGAACTTCCTTCTGCTCTCTAATAACCAATGAACCAATGAACTGACAGCGATATTAAGTGCGATGTAAAAATAATAATCCAACAGCGAAAAAGGTTGATATCGATTGGGTGTGCTTATCCGAATCGGTTACGTGTTAACAAGGTGTAAAAATAGATAAACTAGTACACATTTGCAGAAAAGTAGATGGATATAGACTGCTGATGTTTGATGAATGCACTGACAGGCATACGACGTAGCGGAGGAAACCAGTGCTGAAAAATCCTTTGCGTAGTACGTTGCATTTAAGTCAGCCGTAACAATGTATTATTGTAAACACGGTTTCCAAGCGCTCATTTGAAAGTACCACCACAGACAGCCGCACGTTCAAACTTAACAGGCTGCGGCGGGAGCGAAAAGCGAAGTATAAACTGCATTAAAACTAGCTAACCGCACCAGCATTAGTTAAAGGGATAACGGTGCAAATTTAATTGATGCATTCAAATTGTTTTACTGCTCCCGTTTGGCAAGCCTCTACAGCCCATTTCAAACTAAATTTCGCGAGTCCTCTTTCTTCAGCATGGGTGTGAAGTGGGTACGTTTCGATTTCTTTGAGTTACTCAGCCAAGTACCAAATTCGAGTAACGACGCCGGAATCTGTCCTTGAATTTAAAATCAAGCCGAATTCTACCGGACGTCAGCTTTTCAACCAGGTAACCGTTCTATTCTGTTCGTTTCTACTTCGTAGGTATGCACTACCATAGGACTGCGCGAGGTGTGGTATTTCGGCTTACAATATACTGACTCGAAAGGATTGGTCAAATGGGTGAAATTAAACAAAAAGATATCTTGCAAATCCAAAGAAGCGCGTTTGGATTACACCTTTAAAGTGAAGTTTTATCCTGAGGAAGTTTCGGAAGAGCTAATTCAGGAAGTGACGCAGCGGTTGTTTTACTTCGAGGTACCGAGGATTATTCTGATTGGCTTCCTAGGTGAAAAGCCATATCATATCTGGCGAAATCTACACATCAGCCGACTGTGCGCTGCTATTAGCTTCATTTCAAGCCTTGATTCGCCATGGGAAGTATGACCCGAAAGTCCACACTAGGGGATACCTGAATATCCCTAACTACATTCCAGATCAGTACGTTTTTACACCATTCCGGCTGTTCACCTTCAACCCATACTATACAGTATTCATACCACCTGCTCGCACCTGTTTCATCTTCATAGGTTTGGCCACTCAGCGCTCTTGTTTAGCTCGCCATACTTGTCTGACTAGTATAGTCTAATGGCAACGTGGCTTGTCAGTTTTTCGATGACTGTTTCGTGTACGTGATTTCAGTTGGATCTTGCCGTCCATGCACTCTCCTATGCAGCAGTTTTATAAAAACAAAGAATCACCAAATTTCGACGTATTGCTAATACTTATGTTCAGGTCCCACTTAAACTTGAACTTATGTTGGCCTCTTGATAAGTGGACTACCGGGGTCGGCGCGACTTTTCTGGAACTTAATTCGTGATCTCACGTTCCATCATCGCCTCTAGTTGGTCTTGATTTTCCGAGCATTTTCTCGAATATTCGCATTTCTGTGGGCCACCTAACTCACTCCTGTTGACCCTACTGTGCCTTGCAACGTGGTTTGATTCATTCTCTGATGGTACTTACAACTTGAACGTTCGTTACAAATCACCTTTAACGTGTATTTTTTTATTGCTCGACTTCAAGTGGGCTAGAAAAGTAGTAAATTCCTGGTTATTTTCCTTCGTGTAAGTGCTGTTGAGCTATGGCATTTATCGGTGGCATTCTTGAAAAGCGAAAGCAACATGTACGAATCACACTATGATCAACCAATTAATGCCCACGTGACCTGCACTGGCAGACCCGGCTACGCCGGCCAATTAAAGTAGGAGTGGAAATACAAAGCAACAAAAAGGCAGAAACAATCGAAGTAGAAAAGCAATAATAGTAATAATATTTGAGGTTAAAATTTAAGCTGTGGGCAGGATTGGAACTGCTGCCCTAGGGCATCGAGTTTCTGCTCAAACTCCACTGTCATCTCGCAATGCATTCCAGGAACCAGCTACTTTACGTAACAGTCGAACGTTGATGCAAACCCCATGGAATTGTTGTTCGTGCAACTTTATCGAATGGGACCGCTATAGGCAATCTCATTCAGAACTCGACTTCTCTCACTACAAGACAGTCAGAAATGTTGGTGTCGCAATGAAGCGCCAGAAACGCCAACGATACAAGCTATCCTTGGCAAAACACTCCAGTATCGCGCCTAAAATGCTCTACTCTTATTTGAAAAGAAGCACTAGAGCTGGTAATGGCATCCCTGCTTTGTGTTCCTGTGATCATCAAGCCTTACTTCACGAGGACGCTGAGAAAGCTAGTCACTTGGCTAAACAATACGCTTCTGTTTACGCGAAAGAAACGCCATTTAGTGACAGCCGTATCCACATTTCCATCTTCGTTGGCCCAAGTAGATATTAACACTAATTCTGTGATGAAACTTCTTCTTCAGTTAGATCCGTATAGCTCACTCGGCCCTGATAGATTACATCCTTTGTTCCTCAGGACTGTGGCGGAGTACATAGCTTCACCCATATGTCAAGTCTTTCGTCGCTCACTAGAAGCTGGCCGTCTTCCTTCAGCTTGGAAAGTGGGTATCGTCAAACCCATTTACAAAGGAGGAAGTCGACATGATCCGGCCAATTATCGTAAAATCTGTTTGCCGTCAATAGTGTGTAGAGTTACGGAACGGATCCTAAAACAAGCTGTTACTCTTCATCTAGGGGGACAGAATGTCATTTCTCCTGCCCAGCATGGGTTCAGAAAAGCACGCTCCTGTACCTCGAACTTGCTCGTTGTTAAGGAGACCTGGGCAAGGTCGCTAGACTCCGGCAAATGCTTGGACGTTGTGTTTGTTGACTTCAGCAAAGCTTTTGACGAAGTCCCGCATGAACGGCTCCTGTTTAAGCTCCAAGGAATCGGTATTTCTGGGAACCTCCTGTCTTGGATCTCCGACATCCTTAACGACCGCTCTATGCAAGTGAAGGTGAATGACATTTTTTGCTCCTGTTCTCATAACGAGCGGGGTCCCACAGGGCTCGGTCCCGTACTTTTCAATATTTTCATCAACGACTTACCATCCACTCTTCAGACGGATTGCCTAATCTACGCTGACGACCTAAAGCTATGGATGGAAGTATCCAGCCTTGAAGACGCCGACCGATTACAGACTACGCTCGATCTACTCCATGACTGGTCGATTAAGTGGCAGTTGCCCGTAACTCTTGATAAATGCTCTGTTCTCCCCGTTGGTTCATCAAACCCATTTGGAACTTACCATATTGGTGGTTCCTTGCTCAGAAGCGCAACCCAAGAGAGGGATCTTGGAGTGATAGTGTCATCAGACCTCAAATCTATCCAAGACACCCAGAAGAGGGTCGCCGCGGCCTACAGGATGTTCCATTCTATACGTAGAGGGTTTTCTCTCCTGACCCCGGGACTTTTCCGACTCCTCTTTGGCTCGCATGTACGCCCGATTCTCGAATACGGACTACCCGCTGTCTACCCTCTCACCAAATCCGAATGTGATATGATAGAGAAGGTTCAACGGCGTGGATCCAAATCCGTCCCTGAGTTGCGAGACCTGTCGTATCCACACCGACTTCAACGACTGAACTTGTTCTCTCTAGGTTACCGCCGTCACCGAGGAGATTTGATTTTCACTCGACGTATTCTCAGAGGAGAACTGGGTTGCGAGTTACAGGACTTCTTTCAACTCAACACTGAGAGTTCGACACGAGGCCACCGCATGAAACTGTTCAAACCGAGGAATCTCCGTGTGCGGCTCAATTTGGCCTTATCAACTCGCGTGGTGAATGATTGGAACCGGTTGCCGGATCCTGTTGTTGATGCTGAGACAGAGGAACGTTTCAAACAACTATTAGATTCTCACCTGAGCGCGCTGGGATTCTGCTGCCTCTAAGGCAGCTACAGTGGTCCTCTGCGGAACCTTCTACCGCAATGACCCACACCATCTCCGCAATGATCGGGAAGTGAAGGAGCTGACAAAGGATCTTCCTTCTGCTCTCTATCATCCAATGACCACGGAGAGATGGTAGCAGGATTGGCTCAAAAATCCGAGACAAATCAGGGCCCATCTCTGTCGAAATACGCTAAGTCAGAACCAATTCGCCACGATGTGGGCGATAGTGCAGCGAAAGCGTTCCGAACTTAAGGTGCTGTAGTCCTTCAACCATTGTGCCACTCCTAAGGACCCGCTCAACTGACATCCCATCATAAACCGAGCACGGTGGACAACAACAATCATCATCAACAACAGCATTACATCGGCCATTTGAACTGATGCTTCGCTGCCATACAACCATGAGGACCTATGAAAAAATAAGAAGGAGAGAAGAGGGACTTACCTGAAAACCTGACTGCCCTAAGCAAACATTCAGGATCAAGGCGCCTACACCTTGTGTAGACAACATACTGTCACAAACAGCTGGCTGTGATGCAAAGATAAGGCGGCATCGGCGAGACACCTTCCTTGCGGCTTTCACTGCCACGCGTCATAATCAGCCATTACCCCGCAGATAACTCAGCACCAAACACACTTTAAACAGGCACTCCAATTATGCGACGACAGCGGACGCGCCACTGGTGTCTACTGCTAGCCATGTCCTGTAAACGTTCGATCCAAGCACAAGGCGAGTCACGTGGACTCCAGCCCGGAAGGCGAGGCGGACCAACTGCACGCAGGTTAGTCGTTAGTGGACAAGTTTAGACGCAATATTCTGGGTGCGGCTTAACGAAATCCGGGAAGTTTGGTGAGCATCTCCGGTGTGATTATTCCGAACGATCTGCGATCATCCACAGCATTCTGAAATCCGCCGGCGGCTTTCTTCCACTGCTCGCTTTACTTGAAATCGGATGAAAGAACAACACCCAGATCAACCAGCTGCGGCATCTTAGGCACCTCACTCTTACTAGTGTGTGCTTCACTTATTACTCCTTTGCCATCTCATTGTATATGTATCACTTGCTTATTAAATAAAACCTGCTTTCTCGGATTCATAGTCATCCCACTCGTCGTATTTCTCCTCATTTAATTCCATTACAATTTACTCAGCAAGCTATAAATCTAATCCTCCAGCCAGAACATTTTGATGCCAATCCCAGCAATCCGAACACGGCGAGACAGTGGATCCATTGGTTCGGTAGGTTTATTTATATTTTGGACAACGTTGACTCATTGCCCTTCAGTAAGTTGAGGCTTTTGGCGAACTACGTGTCTCCTGATGTATACGACTGCATTAAAGAATGCACAGCCTATGAACCCGCCATCGAAACTCGGATCCATACACATCAAACCGCAAATCGAAATTTGCACATTATATCCTAGCTATTACCAATCAAAAAGTGGACGAGACACTGGACAACTTCATGCAGCAGTTGAAATCACTGGCCCAGAATTATAACCTCAAAAAGGTCACGGTGGAGGAACCGCAAAGACACTATTCGAAATGCATACCTAACTGGGCTTCGGTCACAAGTTGTGAGTCAACGTTTTTTAGTCAATGTATCACTCGATTTGCACAGCTTTTGAACAAGCACGATCGCTCGAGACTGCTTATCGTCAGTCTTAGTATACCAGTCAGAAAACGCTTGTGGCGCATTCTGAACAGTTGCAAGCGTCAAGTGCCCCAGTAGTCTAAGGTCTTCATGTTGCCGCTGCCGTACGAAATAGCGATTGCTTCTTCTGAGGATTGAACAGACACAGCCCATCTCAATGTCCTGCGCACGACGCTACTTGCAACGGTTGTGAAAAGGAATGACAGTACCGGAAAGTTTGTCGTTCTTCATCCAAAAATACTGCCTCAGTGCTCCATAGTTGTCTCACCTCCATCACGGTCGCAACGGCGCCAAACGATCTCTCACTCCGTCATCTATGTGCTCAACATTCCTTTAAAAGCTTTGATTGATACTGGAAGCACTGACAGCTACATTGTCGCGGTTCAACTGGAATATCCTTAGTCTCATTGTAAGATTTCACTAACTTGCGCTCACTTAACGTGTTTCACCAATAGCCTTTGTCTTGTCAATGTGCAGTATAAAGACGG